AGAACAGTGTTTCATAGAATATATATAATTAGGGCGTCCCCGCTCCATCTAACCCTCAGTTTGGGGTCCTTGACCTGGAAAACATTGAAGACCTCTGATCTATTTAATTTTTTTCTTTACAAATTCTATTTTAGTAATTATTTAAAAACAATAAAGTGATGGCTTCAGTGGTATTGAGATATGATCCCAGTTTTCATCTCTATCTTAATGTATTTGAATCATTTGCCCTGTTTTTTTATCTCATGTTTTTCTGTCCCTCCATGAAAACACGCCGCCCCCCTCCTGGCCCCCTCCTGGCCCCCTGCTACATTTGGTCTAGAACCGCCTCTGTGCTGTGGTCATTTCATGGAAATAAGGAGTTTTAATGATATAAAGGTTGAAGCAGATGCATCTCCTCTGTTCTCGTGAGACTCTTGGCGCGTCCCGCTGCAGCTGCTGCATCTCCTCCCACTGAACGCTTTCCTGTCGTTTCTTGACCCCCCACCATGGTGGTCCAGTATGGGGGCCGCATGTCTACAGTCTTTACTCCAACAGTAACTGGGCCTTGCAGAGAGGGGGCCTGACCCTGCTCTGCTTGTGTTAACACGACAGTAATTAATTGGAATTCCAGAGGAAAATATTTTTTACTGTTTAATTGGAAAAAGCAAAGGGATCCTTTTTTTTTTTTTTTTTTTTGTGGTTTCCCATAAACAGCCAAACGCTCTTTATAGGAAGTCGGATCTCTTTCCACCCTCCAGGGGCAGAAGTACTAAAACTTGTTTTTTAGACCGAAGCTCTTTGTTGCCATGTCGTTTTCTTTGCTTTAAACTGAGACGTTCAAATGTAACCAAAGTTTTAGGTCGAATCTAGTTTGCAAATCCGAAAGGAAAACCTCCGACTCTTCATTAAATTTTCTGACAATAAATAAATTAAAACAAGCTTACTTTCTCTTTCATTATGACTTGCTTGTTGATCAAACTTGCCAGATAAACCAACCCTGTTGGTTCTTTTCAGACATATTTGAGGCTAGTGGCTCGGTCAGGTCAATGTTTACTGTGTGAATATTTTGTTAAGGCGGAATTGTTGAGTTTTAAAACAATGATTAGATCAGAGTTGCTCCTTTTTTCTGCCTGGATGTGAAACCTCCCTGCAGAGGGGAGCTGCAGCTCTGGTCAACATCATGGTCATGAGAGAAAGTTCTGCTTAGATTTGAAGAAATAAGCATCCGGTGATTGATTGTCTTCTGGGGAGTTAAGATGAACTGAAAGAGGATGTAGCTCCACATGTGGGAGGGGTGACCTTATTTTAACTCAACTGGGACTCTTCTGTTATTTCTTACAGGAAGTTCAGAGGCTCTAATGGGACGTCATGTTTAGAAGTTTATCAGCAGTTAATGTCTTACTGCAGTCGATGATTCTCCTCGTCAATCACTGTAGTCTCAGTCTGGTAGGCTGAAGGTTAGTCTGAGTCAGGACTAAGACTAAAGTGGACTTCTGCCCCCTATAAAAACAGCGTGGCTTTTTATGCTAATGATGCAAAACATGTCATGTTTGCAGCGGTTGGTTTGTTACAGAGAAGCTAATGCTACGTTCACACCACAAGCAGCAGGAGCAGCAAAAACGAACGTGCTGCTTCATTTTTTATGCTTGTACGAGATTAGTTTTAACACATGGCTGAAGCATCTTTGCTGCTCTAGCTGCGCGGTGGGCGGAGCTACTCTGTCCTTTCTCTGCCTGGAACAATGGCAGCTATATCTGCTGTGATCAGCGGGTAAAAAG